TTTCCTCAATAAAACAGTCATATCCTTGTCATGCTGTGGCCCTCTAGGCCAATCCTGGCTTCATTCCTTTTTTGAATGTATTGGGTGATTTTGGCCTGGTAAGTAAGCACAGGTTCTTAGAAGATTTCATGAAAAACTCAGCTAAATTTCATTTGTCTGATATTTTGGCTCCAAATATTTGTTAATCTCTACAGGTTCCAAAAAGTGAATAAGGCTGGGGTTAAGATTATTGTGCTGATGTCTTAGACATAATATTGTCTCTGTTGATGTTTTTTAATTGTTGACTCTTTCAGGTCTACAGTGAAAAGGACTCAACGAGGATGATATGAATGTCTCTGTTTTGTTAAGAAAGGAGCACTAATAATCTCTTATAACAACACATTGATGGAAAAAAGACAGTAATTTTCAAGGTTTTAACACCATTAAAGAAAAGGCACAGTGGTGCTCTGAAGCAGTCCCAGGACTGCTGGCCCCTCTGCCAACCTCTCGCCCTCTAGGAGGCAGGCCGGGCAGACAGCAGGGGTGGCCATGTTTCTGCCATGCCGCATCAAGGCTGACCACAAGGAACTCATCCACGATGTGTCTTTCAACTTTCATTGCCACCTGCTCCAGTGACCAGAGCATCAGAGTCTGGGACAAAACTGAAAGTGGAGATTGGCATGGTACTGCTAGTTGGAAGACACATAGTGGATCTGTATGGCATGTGACATGGGCTCATCCTGAATTTGGACAAGTTTTGGCGTCCTGTTCTATTGACCGAACAGCAGCTGTTTGGGAAGAAGTAGTAGGAGAATCAAACGATAAACTTCGAGGCCAGAGTCACTGGGTGAAGAGAAAAACTCTACTGGACAGTAGAACATCTGTTACTGATGTGAAATTTGCTCCCAAACATGTGGGTCTGATGTTAGCAACCTGTTCAGCAGATGGCATACTAAGAATATATGAGGCCCCAGATGTTATGAATCTCAGCCAGTGGTCTCTACAGCACGAGATCTCATGTAAGCTGAACTGTAGCTGTATTTCTTGGAACCCTTCCATCTCTCCTGCGCATTACCCCATGATCGCAGTGGGAAGTAATGACAGCAGTCGAAAAGCAATGACCAAGTTTCTGATTTTTGAGTATAATGAAAACACCAAGAAATACTCAAAAGCAGAAATTCTTATGATAGTCACAGATCCTGTTCATGATATTGCCATTGCTCCAAATTTGGGGAGAACTTTCCACATCCTGGCAATAGCCACTAAATATGTAAGAATTTTCACACATTAAAACCTGTGAATAAAGAACTTACTTCTTCTGGTGGTCCCAGAAAATTTGAAATCCATATCTTGGCTCAGTTTGATAATCAAAACTCTCAGGTCTGGAGGGTGAGTTGGAACATAACAGGAACAGTGCTAGCATCCACAGGAGATGACGGCTACATGAGGTTGTGGAAAGCTAGTTACATGGACAATTGGAAGTGTACTGGTATTTTGAATGGTAAAGGAAGCCCAGTAAATGGGAGTTCTCAGCTGGGAAACTCCAATCCTTCACTAAGCTCAAATACTCCAAATCTTCAAAACTCATTACATGGATCTTCTGCTGGCAAAAAGCACAGCTGAGTACAAGCTAGTTGGAGTAACTTTGCTGTTTTTCTGCTTGTTGCATTCACACAGGAATGGAACTCAAATTCCTTTTCCCCTTCACCAGTGATGTTAGATCTCTCCCAAGATGCACCAGCATCCTGGTTACTACTAAAACACAGTCCAAAAGACCTTTAAAATTATAGTGTATATAATTTTTGTACTAGTCAGTTTAATGACACTATAAATGGAAAAGCTTTTTGTTGAGACATCATTACCAAAACAATATTTGAAATGTTCTGGAGAATATCTTGGGTTTAAAAATTGAAGAGATTACTACTATCCTCATAATTAAACTGTTGGGAGGAGGGAAAATATACTCTTA